GTGTGTGTATATATATATATATATATATATATATAACACATTTTTCTTAAATATATACATGCGTGTCTGTTTATTTATACATACAGTGGGTATAGAAAAGAATTTCGTATTTAAAATCATTCAAATGCATAGAAAGCAGATCTGGTGCCATCTAGTGGGGACAAAAATCCAAGTCAAATGTAATGACATGATTTAAAGGCAGAGTAAGGGATTTCTGGTAGCCAATGTTGATATTTGAAATCACCAAAACAAACACGCCCCTACCCCAAAAGGGTCTTGCCCGTATTTTGATAGCTCCGCCCCACATATACGTACGCAACCCAGGCAACGATTAGTTCTGTGAAACAAAGCAAAACCAATGTTACACCGTGTCTACGGACGTAAGCGGCGCGGCTCAACAAATCCCGACAGAAAACTGCTGCCAGGTTCTATTTATGACGTGCTGACACAAATTTCAAATGGTTTTCAACGGTCGTTTGATCGCGTCCAGCGTAGCAGACTTTAGCTGTTGTAGACACGATGTTACTCACCTATTGAGAAGAAACAAAGCAACCTCAGCGTCCGATCGCAGGCCTCCGCTCCTTGAGTTCTCTCCAGCGCTGGAAAGCTGATCCGATATTTACACGGGTCCTACTTCTTGCCTTATCCTTCCGCAGACGTTTTCCTCTTTAGTTTTTTATCCGCCATCTCTATCTTTCTGGCGCTCGGCTCGGCTAATGTCCGTCCCATGAACTGAAAACTCTCTCCTCCACATCACGAGTAGACACGCCCCTTATTGCTGATTGGCTACAAGTTTGTTTTGCGATTCGGCAAAGTGTTTTTGAAAAATCACTTACTCTGCCTTTAAGCACTAAGAAGGCTGTAGATTTTCTTATTAATCCCTAGTTGATGAGAAGATGATGACCTATTTCCTCGTCATCAGAAGGCCCATCATGTGCCCTTCTTATCAGAATGAGAGGACACCAGTGCCCTTTGGTAGCTCTTTCCTTGAATTAAAGAAAGATTTATTTATTTCCACAGCACAAAGGAATTGTACATGTAAACATCCAGAATATTGAAAACCAGTGCCATGGGCCAGCAAGGTGTCTTCTGTTTAAAGATGGGTGCTTTGGCTTATTCCTACACACAGTTCCAACCATGGTCAATTTTCTCTGAAGAAGCTTTGTGCCAAGGGCATTCAATGTGAAGAAAGTGTTGCACCTTATTGTCTATTTCTGGAGACCAGCTGTCATTTGGGGTACAATGTGTCTGCCCTGATTTCTTTCAGGCTGTGCCCCAGCAGTTTTGCCTGTGAAGACCTACATATCCCAGTCATAGCTTGTACTGGCATCACAGGCTGCCCAGACTTTAATGTCATGCAGTGTTTGACAGGGTTACTTTGCATGAATTGTTTGAAGGGCAACATCCTCTGAACCGGGTCAGGATGGTATATTAATGGCAGGCTTTTCACCCATTTTTCCCCAAAGTCACAGTTTTTTTCGTGTTCTTGCCTGGCAGGTCTCCTTGACATCAAATCGGTTGACCATTGACAATTTTGGAAAATTGCACAGTGGCCCGAAAAATCACCCTAACTGATTCAGAACTTCATAAAGTAGTTGTGGCTTCATTGTGAGATTCGTAGATTTGTCTGTCCATTTAAACCCAGCGTCACTCCGTCCACCGCAGATAACTGTGACGTTCTACACACGTACACACGTCTGCTCCGTCACTATGGCTGCAAGAGACGCGAGATGGTGAGAGTTTGCTTGAATAAAATTAAACAAGTATATCCATAATACCTCTTATCTGACGTTCATTAGTCTAATAACAGAAACGGCGTATGTTATTTTCATATTTGGAGCTATTTGGTTCAGTATTTTCTCTGAAACGAGGAGGATTAACAGGAGAACCCATCAGCTGCCTTCATTCAGGGTTGGTAGCTGCTTAGATTTATATAAGTTAACGTTAAATGTATCACGCCCAATTACACGGTAAATTATAATTTTTGAGGTTAATTGAATGTCAGTGTTGTTACTGGAAAATAAGCAGTATTTCATATTTCATATCTTGCTGTCTAGAGATCATCCATCTGGACATGCTGCTAAAATCCGATTGAATGCAGTGCAACGCAACTGTTACTGTAGTTTGAACAGGCTCGAATTCACTGTCTCAAAAAACTCTTCACAACTGTTCCTTTAGTTTGACCTGATTTCCATGTCCTGCCTTGTCTTTCAGAAACAACATCCCTAGTTTATAAAGTAAACAAGCGGCGCTCTTCCAAAAATGGCGAAAATGTACCACAAAGAGAAAAGCATCCAGATAAAGAGCAGCGCGTCCGCGTTCTACAACAACCTGAGCGTCCTGCGCATCGCGCCGCGCTGTCTCACCTATTTCACGGTGGTCCACGCCAACGTGGTGAACATGGTCAGCGCCTCCTGGGACGGGCTGAACTATTCCCACCGACAGCTGCAATCTAAAGAGGGCAACGTGGCCACCAGCTCCTCACTTATCATGCAGGTGAGACTACCGTTTGAGTCCTAATAAAGACTGATGAATATACTGGTTTAGTACAGTTTAGCATACAGTGTCTAAATGCTGTCACTGAATTATTGACACTGTTTTACACTATTTATTGTTTCACCTTTATCCCAAGATCATAATTAACTTTTTTTTTTTTTTGCCTGACAGGCAGCGTGGTGTGTCCTGCCCTCAAGAGATCTTCTTGTTCTCACCTCTCAGAAGGGAATCCAGGTAGGTTGAGTGTTATGCCAAAATTGTTTATTTGCCCAGGAAACATGACTTGGACTATTTTTATTCATCAGATGTATGAATCGGATGGATCCATTATGGTCTATTGGCATGCACTGGACACACCAGAGACCCCTACTGGTCAGTGCACACTTTTGTGTCTCTGTAAATACAGTAAATGTGTTCATTCTTTTTCTTTCTTTATTTTCTCATCCTTTGAAGAAAAAACTGTGGGAAATAGGTTGTGACCTCTGTGTACCTGTCTGACATTGTCTGTTGTAATTTTCCAGCGAAGGCAGTGTTTGCCCGAGGAATTGCAGCAGTGCGGGAAAAATATATTTGTGTAGGTGAGTGGCTTCATCTGTCAGCAGTAGCTATATAGGGAACTATTCTAATCCATTTACATATTTGCTTAGTTTGTGTACTGAAAGTGCCCTTTTCAACTCCTCACACTTCCTTCAGGGGTCTCATCTGGCTCAGTGCTTGTGTTTGACGTTCCCAGTAAAGGCAGTAACATCACCCTGTCTGAGGTTTTGGAGGAACACAAAGAAGCAATCACAGACATGGCCTCTGAGTGCTCAGGCAATCTGGTATTAACTTACAGTAACTTTCATATCAGTGTTATTATTGTAATCCATAGGGCAAACGCTATTTATAGGTTGTTGGATTTTTTGTTGTTGTCATGTTTGGTTAAGTTGGTTTAAGTTACTGGTGGCTCAAGTGTTTTATTATTGAACTGATTTCTTTTTTTAGGAGTGTATTGCTGATTTAGTTAGTGCTGATGACTCTGGCCTCATCTGTGTGTGGAAATCAGGAGAAGATTTTCAACTGCTCAACAAGATCCCTGGTTTTGAGTATGTTAGGAATTAACACTCACTATACAAGAGACAATACAAGAGACAATTTTGCAAATTAAATTAAATTAAAAATTAAATAAAATGTATGCATTTAGCAGACGCTTTTATCCAAAGCGACTTACAGTGCATTCAGGCTATACATTTTTTATTGAACCCACGACCTTTGCGCTGCTAACGCAATGCTCTACCACTGAGCCACAGGAACAAGCAAATATTTATTAGCAAATTTGCACATAAAGTGGACCTTCCTGAAAAGTTTTCTCTGGATCCACGAACAATTCGTAAACCTCAGAATTGAGGTTCATTTACACATTCGTTGATTATTAGTAAAATCCCTGCCCATAAATTACAACAACGTGAATTATGTGTACAGAATCCTGTAGGATCTTTTGGACTTCCTTCTCAGGTTTGGCTCCAATATATTACATGAATGCAAAATAGTAATTGGCCATATTTCTAACAAAAATGATATAATTAAAGTGCTAAGCTTGAAGACTAATGCTGGTGCTCAAAATAGTGTTCTGTGATAAAATAATAAACGGACTGTCTCATTTTTGTTTAGCAGTGAAATTTATTTTCACATACATCTAATTGGATAACTAATTAATTGTGTTATTATATATTATTATGGTAAGTGTTATCAAAATGCAGTGTCATCGGTTTTCCTAAAAGAACATAAAATGCACCATTTCATTGATCTGAAAATTCATGTCAGAGTGACTTTACAAACAATTTTCACAAAAACTCATCTGCTTGTGTTTCTTGAAAGAGGCCCACTATACTTATACCAATGCATCATTAATATAATATGTATATTATTACATATCTTCTTCTCTCAGCACGAGTTGTTCTTCAGTAAAACTCTGGAAGGGCACAGTCATTGCAGGCTATGGGACGGGACAGATCCGTCTGTATGAGGGGGTCACAGGTATACTGCATGCAGAGGTCACTGCCCATGCACGATGGATCTACTCGCTGGACATCGCACCGGTCACTGGACTGGTGAGAGAAGAACTATGTATACAGTCTGTATGTCGCACAGTTAATGTATGCAACTATACGTATGTGCATGTTAAGTAGTAATTAAGTCAAAACAGATTTAAATAAGTTATTTAACTAAAACTGTTTTGATAAACACAAATAGATTTAATTAATTGTATTTAGATGTATTTTATTAAAATGGTAAACTCTCATATACTGATATTGTTTTCCTTTGTTCAATGAAAAAGCTGATCTCTGCAGCAGAAGACTCCTGGGTTAGAGTGTGGCATCTGAGCTTGACTCCAGAGACTAATAGTGTAGAGGTTAAACCACTCACAGACACAAACAGTGCACTACCGTTCAAAAGTTTGGGGTCAGTAAGATTATTTTGAAAGAATTTAATTATATTACTCCGCAAGATGCATTAAATTGATCAAAAGTGACAGAAAATACATTTCTAAATTGAATGTTATCTCTAATTCAAGTAAATGCTATTTATTAGTTATTTTCAACTTTCTGTTCGAAGAATCCTGAAAAAAAAAAAGTTTCCCCAAAAATATTAAGCAGCAAAATGATTTTCATTAATTAATTATTAGTAATAAGAAATGTTTCTTCAGCAGCAAATCAGCATATTCGAATGATTCCTGAAGGATCATGTGACACTAAAGACTGGAGTCATGGTGAAAATTTCAGCTTTGCCATAACAGGAATACATTTCTATTTATTAAAAAAAACTATTCAAATAAAAAAATTAATTGTAATAATATTTTACAATATTACTGTTTTTACTATATTTTTGATCAAATCTCGGTGAGCATAAGATACTTTCAAAAACATTAAAAATCTTACCGACCCCAAGCTTTTGATCGGTGGAGAACATGCACTAGAACTGCATTAGTAGTTTCATTAAATGAACATTCATTGCAAAGCATTTTGTGTGTTTCAGCTGATTTCAAATGTTCTCCCACATTTTTCACTGTCCTTTCTAGATTGAGCACATGTACAATGAGTGTGTGACTGATACACAGATCTGTGGAGCCAAGTTCTGTGACGGGGATGGCTACGCCTTTGCAGTGACTGGCTATGACTTGAGTGAGATCATCCGCTACACGCAAGCCTAGTCAGGAATACAGCATGCACTTCTAAGACAGTCCCATTTGGTCATATGAGGATCGCCTGCAGAAGGAAGGTCATGTCTTGACAATATATTGGTGAATATATTGGTGTGCAGTCATGATAGGCAGGGTCAGGCTGGAGTGAATGTTCTTCTAACTTCTTAGGCACTACATGACTACACTACATGCCTAAAAAGCCACACTTGAATCAGGTGACTGTGTTTAGTACGGTATGTCTACATGATTGGCAGTTGTGCCAGGTACAAATTACTCTTTTTGTGCTCTGATATTAAGGGAAAATACATAACATTGGTTAAACAGAACATGTTGATCTGGAAACAAAGCATTAATATGATAAAATGTTAGAAGGGGTTGTTCTGTTAGTGTTTTGCTTCTCACAAAATTTGTTTAGTAAATGTATTTACTAAAGTGTTACTGAGCAATTTCATTACCTCATTGAACAATTTTGGGTGTGCAATTAATTCAGATGGTATGTAATCATATTTGTGGTTCAGAAAACAAAACATATCAAAATTGTTTGTAAAGTATTTATTCATTATGAATATTATGAATATTAAATAGTGCAGAGGCTATTTTTTCCAAGTGGAATTATAATGTTCTTTATATTTGTCTAGAAATAATTGCGTTGTATCTGGATCGTTATTTCAGCTTGATGTTAAACCACATATTTTATATTTTGTGTTGTTGTCATAGTTTTTGCTGTTTTCTGTTTCTTTCTAAACAATTGTCAGTGACAATTCAGCAACTAAAAAAAGCAAAAAATAAAATAACTTGTTTACTGTGACTTTTATTGCCATTAGAAATGTGTACCAGTAGATGGCAATAGATCTTACATCTTTAATGGTTTTCTGAAACATTTTGAACATTGGTAACTTTTGAGATCAGAATTAGCATATTTAATTCAAGCATTCAAGCGCATTGATTCATATAAAACATCTATGAAACATATCATAGAACATATTAGAACATGTCCAGCACTCATTTTTATTCAAAATGTAAAAAATATCAAACATAAATTGGGTATGTCTAAATTGCCTAAAATGACCGGGCTTTGTTTTCCTAGCGACATGCTGTCTGGAGTCCTCATACATTATATTTACACGTATTTGCACTGTTTTGACCGTTCTTTGTAGATCCCACCTCGCACGCCACGATTGGTCGATTATGTACAATGCCTGCACGCAAGCTACTTTTCATTACATTCAGCATGTATGAAAACAAAATCAAAACCCAGACATTTTAGGTAATTTAGAATTTCCTGCCAGGACACATTTAGTAAAAAGAGGACGTATGGTCACCCTATGTTTGCAGTGGGTTTTAACGGTCCTCAGGGTTATCTCTGTGTAACCTTAAGGCGTGAAGTGAATAGAAAATAATTTTGATCAGCTTCATGCCAATTTTCTTTCAAGAGCAAATTTGTAAATAAGCAGCATTTTCGACCATAGTAATATATTCAACACCATTAACTTTTGTCCCATTTGTGCCTCTCTGTTTAGCTATAAAAAAGACAGGAAGACTTTGATTGTCATATGTGTCCTTCATGCACCTGCCATGAGGCCCTCATGAGTCCTTGTCCTTGATTTACGCCCTGTTATCACACTGTAATGTCTTTTTGGTCATTACATCTTTCATCTATGCAGGTTCCTGTTTTTATAGGTCAAAGCAGAACACCAGAGGAATGCAGATTATCACGTCAAGCTGTTCTATCAGTAACCCACTAAAATATCTGCAATGCTCACTTGACTGTATTTCCCCCATAATATTTATGTCCATAATTCTGTTGTTCCCTCATAGTATTATCCACACACGACCTCCCATTTCAGCTTGTTGATAAAATGTCTCTTATGTAAGACTTTTAACTTTGTCCTATGGATGACACTGAGTGTGCCCTATATCTGTTATGAAGAGAGGGTGAATATCAATGACACAGAGGGACAGATCTAATGGGAGAATCGACTGATGACCGTCAGATTTGATGGTGGATAGAGAGGGAGGGGGTCCAGAGAGCATCAATGAGACCTCCATTGGCTGTGGGTTTAATGGAATTATGTAACACTGCCGTGCAGCACAGAAGCACAACAAGCAATATGTGTTTAAGGTCATTGTGTTTAGTGGGATCTGTGGTAATAAAAACTATGGCTGGTCTACAGCCATGTCAAATTCAATAGTTCTCTCCAGACACATCAGATCTGTGGCCTCTGGGGAGTCACAGTGTTTGCAGATGGGGACCGCCAGTCGGCATGGCACGATGCAATTCCAGAGGACACAAGATGCTGATTTCACTTAGGCAGAAGTTAAAAACAATATTTTTTTCTGTGTTTTCTATGCATGTCATGTGATGTTTCTTCTATTATGGCCACTTTTATATCCAAGGAAATTATTTTTATTATAAAATGTCAGCTTCTCTCTTTTTGTTGTAAGAAGGTTACATTATAACAGTCTTGGAAACTTTTTTCTGGCATTTTCAAAATCAAATTCTTTTTTTTTTTTTACTGTTATTATTGTACCCTTGACTCAGACCCAGAAAAATCAGTAAGAGAATGTTGCTGTGCATAATTTGCTGTCAAGAGGTAATGTTGTCAAATTATGCAGAAATTATGTTATATTTTGTATGTAGGATACATAAAATAGTATCTATGACATTATAGCAGGCAAAAGAGTCTGCTATTTTATCAAAATCTTTAAATTACATTTTAATAACAAAATGCCATTTAACACAATACATCAATGTGCTGGAAATGATGTTTTAGAAAAGACAAAAAAAAAAATTCTCTTTGGATACGTGTATATACACTGTTTGAAATTAAAATGTGTTTTAAGAATGTGAAAGTCAGCATGAAATGAAATTTCCCCCTATTTTCTATAAGCAGTGATTTTATTGTGAATGATTCACTCATCAGTGCATCAAGGTACTATTATAGTTTAAAAAAAACAAATTTTGAATTAATTTTTTCCATTTTTATTTTAAATTCAATTTTTAAGTTTTAGTAATTTTTTTTGTTTTTGCCATTTTTATTAGTTATTGTTTTTTAATGTATATAGTTTTTATTAATTCAGTTTTGTTTGTAGTTATTTTAAGTAAATCAAGGTTTTTTTAATATTATATATTATTTCAGTAAATCTTTATTTAAATAACAGAAAGGTTTTTAATGGTTTTAGTTTTAGTTAATAACCCTGATCCATGCACGTGTTTCTTCTTTTCTTTTCTTTTCAAAAAGATGTCATAGTTGGATCTTCCCATGAAAACAACAGACTTATTTCTGGTACCATATGCAGGACTTCTCCAATCATTTAGTCCTCCTAAACTCCACTCCTTTCTTACAATCAACAACGAATGGATAAAACCAAGTCCCACCCTACATTTTTCTTCTTTCACTCAGATGTACATCACAATACAAAAGAAAAGAGTCTAATTAGCTATGGGAATTAAATAAACATGCATTAGTTGTTTGCTTTGTTCTGGCTTCCATACTTAATATTATAAAAGCCAATAGAGACCAAAACAGGCTCATTAGGCTGAATGGAATATATTTTGAGGCAAGATTGTACATGTTTATTCATGTAAATGTGATGGGGAGAGGGTTTCGAGGACGGCACAGACGCAAATGACCACAATTATAATACTCCGCAGATGCACATGTCTTTTTATTCATGAAGAAGAGATTGAACTGGCATTGAATTGTGCACAATAATGTGTCCATGTAAAACAGGACCGTTTATTCACTTTCTATCCTGCCTATTTGTCATAATTTTTAGCAATAACCAAACCCAGCGACCCTGCTTTGATGTTCAGCAAACAAAAGACGCCCGACGCATCCCATTAACGTGAATAATTAATTTGGAGATGCCTGGATGGAACACGTGACACTCGCTCCCCCTCTCAAGACTTTCCAAAATCTATCGGCCTTAGCATTGAGCCTGCTGGGAAAGCTTCGTCACACAGGGATTGACAAAGTAATTCCTCACCAGTCTGGAGCTGAGGAAAAAACAGACGCAAGGAGGAAATTAGGGAAAAGTGTCTCCTGAAAATAGTTCATATAAATAGACTGGAAACAGCAGTAGGGGGAAGTGGAACTGGGATCAGACACACAGACAAATACTGGATGAGAGAGATTGGCTGGAGACATGGAGGGATAGAAAGCAGAGTGAGAAAGAGGTTGACACCATGCTGATGATTCATCTGGTCATCTCGAGAGTGAGACGTGTGCACACTCCACCCGCTCCAACAGCTGCTCCCGTCTCCTCTGCTGGGTGCTGTGAGAACAGGATGGAGAGTGAGCTGTTTTAAACATTGGTGTGTCCTACCCATGGGGCACTGCAACAAAACAAAAGGCATCTCAACTCTACCTTTGTCAATTATTTCATTTCTCAAACCTTTACATTTTTCTCTGCATTTTATTCTAACGTTGTTACAAACAAGACATGTGGCAAGAAATAATTGATCATCTGAAAAAGATAACTATAATGTTGTGACACAAACTCTCAAGTCAGTTTCACTATAATGAATTTGTCATTGACTGTCACTCTCTCTCATAAAAAAAAACAAAAACATTACAAAACTGTCAGTCGGGTGGTACCCTTTCAAAAGGTACTATTGTACCTTTAAGATACGTATATATACCATTTTGTGGTAAATAAGATACAAAGATATGCCTTAGGGGTTCGTATACCTTTTTTTTCTGAGAGTGTGGCTACTGTGATGATGACTCTAAAATGAGCCGTCCAGTCATACATTGTGACCCCAAAAAGTATTTGAACACTTTTGGATGTTTAAGTCACACTTAATTAATTCCATTACATGCATAATATCAGACCAAGTTGCATCTGCTATTTAGCTATTTTTTAAGTCAACAAGGTTGAGAACCACTGACTTAAGAGGAGGGTTATAAGCTCCGTGGAGATCCCTGGAAAGACAAATATAGAAAAGGGGCCAAAAATAATAAAATAACCCTTCATTTTGCCTTTTATCATAATGAAATAGACACATAGTCAGTACCGTACCTGAGAAATCCAGACAGACAGTGAATATTCCACATTTCCACACCTCACCTCTTTCCACTCTTGCTAATATTAATTGGCTGGCTTAAGAAACATCCAGGTTTGAGTGTTATACTGTTAAAAAAACATGCAAGTTGTAGTGAAATGGTAGCGTTGCCAGGCATTGAGAGGCCACTGTAGTCGACTTTGATGGTCAGAACAGACTTCAAAATGGCAGAAGGTAGATCTATTTGTTTTCTGCTAGTACTTAGATTATAGAATCACCCAAACTTGCATTAGAAGTACTCTCTGCTTTTAAAACCTTAGCTACACTGTCATGCATGCTAATATTCCAATGTCTATTTCTTCTGAACACCCTAAAATAGCTCAGCTAGAGACACGCATGGAGCAGTACTCACTGATTTATTGCAAAGCTGCATTAAAGAGGTCATTGTGTATAAAGATCAAGTGTGTTTATTGTCATCAGCCTAAATTTGCACCTCAATTATCAGACACGAATGTCCTGAGCCAGGTGTAATCAAATGGCACAGCAGTATAGGGCACAAGGGTGTGAGTTTGGCAAAAGTTGTCCTCCCCTAAGCTTAAATGTCAGTAAGCAGATCGTACAAAAACCTATGAATTAGATTGTAAGAATTCATACAAATCAGTTGTCACGAATTGCCTGCTTTGTTTTTGTTTTCATTTGTTTCTATCTATTACCTGTTTTCATTTGTTCAAGTTTCCCGCTCCTTGTTTGTTACTATGGTTTCTGATTAAAGAGTCAACACCTGTTCATCATTTGAGTTCTATCTCCCTGTGTATTTAAGTTCCTCCTTTTCATTCATTTGGCGTCTGGTATTGTTTGTGTGTAGACATGCTGTTACGTTGCCTTCTCGTAATTGGATTACCCGAGTTTGTTTTATTAAAGAACCTTTTGTTTGTGGACATCTGTTTGAACCTTTTTCATCATCTTCCTCTGAACCTGATCGTGACATCAGTCATCAAAACAGAAAATAGTTATAAATCACCATAAGTTGTTATATTTTCAAAAATGATGGGCAATTTTCAAACACATTCAAATCTTATTTGCTCTAACCTATTGGAGATCCAATTGTTCTCTTACTCTCTTCCATATTTGGCGACAAAATACCATGCCGAACAGACCTTATAGTCAGGGTAGTGGCATTATTAATTTAGACAGGAATGAAAACGATGCTGTGGGGGTTAGAAGTACAATGTGTTCAATGGACTGTATACTGTTGTTTAACAACATACCAATTCTTCAGCTGATGAAATATCTTTCCACAAGACTTTTTAGTTCAAACAACAAATGCAAAGTATGTTTTCAGGCTTGAATCCAACACTCCACACTTTGAACTTAATGTTTTAGTTAGATATTTAGTTACATAACAGTTTCATGATTATATCAACTAATAATGTTTGCAGAGCAGCAAGGTCTTACCCGGGAGTTCCTGGTAAGTTTTTCACAGAGTGTTCAGACCTGGTTTCATGTGTCAAGTTTTGAAGTCAATATGTTTTCAACTGTATCACGTGGGAAACCGGTGATTTCATGGTGCACTCAAACACACACACTTAAGATTTAGATCTAGAGCAGTTGCATGTATTCACCCATAACAGATTTTAATGACGTTTTTGTTGACATTTCTGAATTTGTCCAAAATGTAGTGTTAGTATTTGTTGAATCAGGAACAGGACTTTGACATTGCAGTGTAAGCAACATTTTCTTGTCTCAGTGCGTGCAAAGATGTTTGTTATTTTTTCTTATCAGTGTGCTTGTGCAAACATTCACTCGCTGGCTAAGTATATAACAATGTAGTGCAAATTTTGCCTCAAAGGATTTAGATTTAGAATTAGCCAATCTTTTAGCATATTAAAAATTTTAAAAACAATAACAGCTCCAGTGAACTGGCTGCAGGCCACAACAGAGACATATCAATTACATAATATATAATTACCATGAGTAAACATGATGGAAGTACTGTTTTCTTATTTTCTTCTGAGTGTGTACGGTTGTATGTGTGTGTTTGTATGCTCCAGCTGTGCGGTCACTCAAGGAAACCCACTACACTCATAACACACTGGCCTTTGCCCTCTAAAGAGGATCTAAATTTGCTGTGCTGAGCAGAAATTTAACCAAGTCATAATTACATGCACACTAAAACACAATCCTCTCAGCCCCCCTACAACCCAAGAGACTCTAGACTTGAACTACAGTCTGTTTTCCCATCCAAATTACTACCCAAAACACGAGCAAATTTAAATCATGTCAGCATCGATACACATGAAGTCAGATTTTTACTTTAGCATATTAACAGTCAGTGTTCTCTATTCCAGACACCACAGTCACAAGATCCTAGAGGCAGTGACATCGGCATGCCCTGGAAAGAGAACACCTATACAGGGAATTGACCTATCGGTAAGCCCCTCCCCTCAAACGCAGATGAGCCAATGGCAGTTGAGTATCAGTTGCACGGGGACCGAAACTCAGACATCTTTAGGTTTCAGCGCCATAGAGAAACATTGGAAGATCCGAAGCTCTTATCGGTTTGATGGTGTTTATGCTACAAAAATGGTAAAACGATGTGCCTGGGGTACTTGTAACACTGATGCCAGGTATCCTGAGAGGATGGTGCCACTTCTGTGGAAGACTAGTGCATGATTGTTCATCTTTGGTATACAGCAGGTTCACATGGTGTATTAATCCAGTGATGTGGGTGCAGTAACCGATTCAACCCCAATCAAGACGAAAACGTTCATTTTCTGGTTGTCATACTCTCATTAAGATACAATTAAAATTAGTGAGGCCATTTTAATGTACAAACCTAAATAGCTAACTGTTCTCACGTCATGTACAGTGTACATAAACGAAGGTCTACATTTCAGTGCCTCTCCATATTAAACTGGTTAAATGCAGAGGCGGACAGTAACTAAGTACATTTACTTGAGTATTGTACTTAAGTACAAGTACTTTCACTCAAGTAATGGAGTTGAGTTCTTTGTCCGCCTCTGGTTAAATGTAAATTAATTTAATCTTGCCCTGCAGTACATGAACAGTGTTGATTCTGGATGTTGTCATCTGCGATCATGACAACCGTAACATGAGGCTTCTCCCACTTGCATGGTGATCTGTAAAGCCGCTCTTCCAAATTAATCTTGTTACCCACCATATTCATTTTAAAATCTTTTATATATCCCTCCATGGCATATTTAAATCCCACTTGAATGCTCCTCGATGAGAAGTGGTCCTTCTTTGTCCAAAATTTAACAAGGTTTTCACACTGACAGCTGTCATTGTATGACAGTGATCAACCCTGTTTGTTTGTCCAAGTTAGCAACATTAACTAAGGGGGACGGGGCTTACCGATAGGTCAATTCTCCTCTTGACCGGGTTTATATAGGAGACTGGGTTGATGGACCGTCTGGCCTCCAGATGGGCACTCAGGCCTGGACAGCGTGATCAGAGGTGAACCAACACAGAAATCTAAATGGAGCAGAAAGACAAATACGGCAGTCTGTACATTTAGTCAGTTCATTCCAGACAGTTAATGAGGATGGACACTAAATGAAAATGGTCAAATGAAGTGCAAACATCTTAGGTTTGCCTTTGACAATAGGAAGTGTAGAAGGTGGGCTTTAATAGTAGACTGTTACTCTCTGAGACATGCTGCGGCAGATTCTACCAGTGGTTAGGGAATAGTCAGACATTTTGCTCATATTTCATTTGAAAATACAATGCTTTGCTTGTGCTTAAATTTAATTTAATAATTATAAGTATAATAAAACAGTTAGTTCTGGTCCTCAGCTTTGATTGACTGAACATGGGTGCTTATATTTAGTCCTTTTCACGGTTTTTGTCACTCACCTTTTGTTGGGGATTCTTCATTGACTCTTTCCGCAGGATATATTGTTATGCCAGTGGGTGGAGACAATTAACTATCTCTAAAAGGGAGTCATTGAATAATTTATTCAACCAATTCTTTCAAACAACATTGATTTGTTTAGGAATGAAATGCTGGGCCTGTCCAAATACCTACACTTGTGGTCTTGGCCACTTGAGAGCGTGTGCATACAACAACAAGTAAGTCCACAAGACTGTCCCAGGTCTTAAACACCAAAGCTCAGTGCTCTTAGCGCACACCAAACCCACACTTTGGAGTGTATTCGAGGCTAAGTGTATCCCATCATGCATGATAATCAGGAACTCACATTCTGAAATCGCGAGCCAACACTTGAGCCAAATACAGGAAATGTCATGCAAGTAGACAAGTGGTCAAGTGCAAAGACCGCAAGTGTGGGTATTTGGACAGGCCTGCTGTTTTGGAGACGCACAATAGTGGATTCTGCTTGAGGTTAGTTTGGAAATGAAAGCATCAATGAAGGTTTTACCAGGAAGACTCCTAATACCACATCATTCATTCATAACTGTTACTGGCCAGTCACAGCTTGACACTTGGAGTATATAAGTACTGAACTTTCTCTTTTATGTTCGCAGTTGATGACGTTAACATTCCCCTCCATCCTCCTCCCCACCACCACCAGCAGGGGTAGGCTCCACCTCTGCCTTCATCTTCAGGCAGGACCAGTCAAATCTGCATCACCAGAGCACCCTGGGGCCTACGCCAAAAAACCTTTCCATGTAACTAGACTTGATTCATTGCAGCTTGCTACCATCTGTAAATTATTTATGGAATAAAAATCATGTAAACATTCACCTACCCTCTGACTCTTTCTGGTAGATCTTTTTTTGTTTTAGTTATGGTTCCTGTCATGTGTTTCCCTTGCCCTTATGTAATCCTGCTATTGGTTGTCTTGTTCATGTGTCTTGTTCTTATTGGTTGATTTGGTAATGTGGTTCTTAGTTTTGTTTTGTGATTGGGTCATTGTCTTGATTGTTCACAGGTGTTCCTTGTTTAGTCATTTAGTCTTGTGTATAAATAGCCCTCATGTTGCCATTTGTCTTATGTCTAGCTTTGTTTGTGTAACCTGCTGTTGGTGACTCGACTCGACTCGACTCGAGTCAAGTCATTGTTTATTGTGTATCTGCTCATTCTTGGATATTAATAAACTGCACTTGGGTTATTACAACGCTCGCCTCAGTGGAAACGTTACCACCTTCTTGTTTACTAAATTGTTTAAAAGAAATGTCATTCTATAATCACTATAAATCATGTTGTTGGTCTGAATGCATTGCTCCTTTAGCTAAACTACGATGAAGCATTCCCACAGTAAAACGTCATTAATTTTTTAAATATAAATAATATACCTAATAATAATGCACATTTATAGCAATATTTGTCATATCAACCTGGCATTTTTAATTCAGCTGCTGATGAAATGACTGCAGCCAACATTTGACTTCTTGAAAATCGTTTTTTTTTTTTTTTGATGGAGCAAATGGGAATCGTGTAGGCTACTTCTACAGTACTTCTTACAGTGCTAAAGTTTACTTCCGCATTCCATGCCCGGATATGTGAATAGGGTTCATTCATAACAACAGTCTGGAACATATGATATTGCTACCAAGCATTGTAAACCTGATTGGATGCATTCATAATCTGTGAGAAACAATTTGAGAAAATTCTCACAGAAATGAAGCAGAAGGTTTTTCACCTGAGCTATATTAATAATCTGCTGACCCAAACTCCATTGACCCTCAAATTTCAGAAGAAGACTCTCACCTGTCATGGAGGTTAGGAAATAAACATGCAATGTTAATGATCTTGAGTGGGCATGATAGGAAGATGTCGGGGCGGCGTTAGCTGTACTCGTCCCTGTTTCCATGGCGACCCCAAAGTGCTGCTAGGAGTGTGGCATGTGCCAAAGCCGACTGCTTATTTCTCGTTCGCTAAGTTTCTATTCATAGTGCTCAGTGGAGAGCCACGCTGAGGATGGGCATGTGGCAGGTACAGTTGGGCTACACAACCCAGCCCAGGTCAGACCGTCTCATGCTGATTTTAGAGAAACGCAGGGTAGAGCGTGAGGGGGGCTGGCAGAGAGCAGGTGTGTGGATGGGCTGCCTGCAAAACCTCAATTCTCAGTAGTTCAGTTCAACACCTGCTATCCAACTGTGATGGGCTTTAGTGACACAGTTTTCCCCAGATAAAATCTATTAAGGCCATTTTAAATTAAGAATGTTCATTTTAGTCGTGAACAAACAGATTTACTTCATTTTGACTTTTTGATTTTCATTTTGATTTAATTGTGTTTTTGAAGAAAGGTTTCTGCCCACCTTTTCAATTCAATATGTACCTCGACATTTATTGCAATTTGAATTTATTGTTTATTTTGTCTTGGCTTGTCAATGAATTGTTCAAATGTCAAATTCAAATTTGTTACACACACACACACACACACACACACACAACCATAAATAATATGATTTGTACAGTGAAATGCTTTTTCGACACTCTGCACATAGAAATACAACAGAGATAAAATCTTAACATTTTAAAGTCAGATTATAAATTCTATCAATTACCATAAATCAGAAATAGATTTTACAATACAATGTAGATACAGAGATAGAGAGAGAGAGTAATGAAAAGAATGTAACAAATACTGTAGGTTACTTGTATATTTGTGGTAGGTGTATTATTTGTATTATTTTTAGTATTTCTAATAATTAATAAAATATAATATGTTTTAAAATATAAAAAACTATTAAAATAAATCATTTTTTATTATTTTATCTGTATTAAAAGTTTTATTATTTATGTCATGAAATGTACAAAACATAATTATTTCTAATTATTTGTTTGCTCTCATATCCTTACCTAAAAAAAAGCTTCCATGTATTTACGACTCAATGATCTTGACTCTGCGGTTGGACCCAAAAGTGCTCACACAGTGAGAAGAGAACTAGTCCGCCACTGGACAGTTTTTTTTTTTTTTTTGGCAGATGGGTTGGGCCTAGGGGGCCTAGGGGACAGAATCTATGCAAATAACAGCTTTTGTGGGTGATTGTTCAAGCTCAATTGGCACCTCTGTAATTGGCTTTTGTAAAGTGGATCAGTGAGGAGAATGGCACGGCTCTATACCACAGAAAACAAGCCATTGTGGGCTCTGTCTGTTCAGTGCTAGGGACATGGAGAGTTAGTTGCTGAGAGAAATTGATCTGGCCAGGCATAACCTCTAGTCTTTCATGTGTCTATGGCTTTGGCCAGCATTGGCTTTGTTAGAATCAGCCTACGCAAGGTCTTTCCAACCCAATGATCAGCACTTTACCCCCCTGGGAGAAGGGGGAGAGGCATTGGACTGCACTGAAGCCACCTTTATTCCCCATTGTGCCCACGGGTACATCAATAGTTTCGGGTAGAAGCCTGAGCAAAAAAACTGCTGGGAAAGACACTTTGGAATAAGGGAATCAGCAACAGCTTGCTGTTGTATTGTAGGCTGCCTATACACAGAAAACACTCTATACGAACTGTTTTACAAGTTTATGCAATAAAAGTGTACTCATGTATTTGGAATAATGAGTAGATTGTTCCGTTTTTCCATCGTTGTTTATGAAATATAGGTAACACTTTACATTAAGGTTTCCTTTGTAAAGGGTTTACAAAGGTGTTCATAAATGACTAATAACTTGTTTACAAATGCATTATAAATAATTGATAAGCAGTTCTAAATGCATGAATAAAAAGGGTCATTTTAAAGGGGTCATATAATGCTTTTTTAAAGATCATTATTTGGTGTATTTGGTGTAACAGAATATGTTGACATGCTTTAATGTTCAAAAAACACATTATTTTTCAAATACTGTACATTATTGTAGGTCCTCTATGCCCCGCCTCTCTCAAACGCTTAGTTTTCTACTAAGTCCCTCCTTCCGACAAGCGCAGTCTGCTCTGATTGGCCAGCTGAACCAGTGCATTGTGATTGGCCGAACACCACAAGCACCTGTCGGAAATGTAACGCCCCTTACCATAAACGCGAGCTTCATCTTTCAAAATAAACGTAAAGACAGAGCCCGAAAGGGGAACAGAGTCGCGTGACAGACACAGTGAAGCTGGTATGTGTTTGCAGTACACAAGCCACGGTTAAGACAGCTGACTCTGTGATGTGACCCTGTCTCTCTCTCTCTCTCTCTCTCTCTCACACACACGTGGTAAACAAAATAAATCAGTTTTATACATTGCTGTGAATAGGCATCATGGACTTTTGCAGAGTATCATGGGTAAGATACAGTATTTTCACCGAAATCTAGATTTAAAAATACCAAAAGTGTCACTAGATTGTGTGGAACCCATGAATCAGGTGCAATACTTAATTATTTCTAGATAATAAGATGAAGACAGATTTTTCAAATGCTTCAGGGACACTTCATATCTTAACTGAAAGGGACGAGTCTGGACACATCCTACTGGCCTACTTCAGACGGCACTTTGTGGAACAGAGTGGCAAGCATGAGGGAGCTTTTTTCTTGGAACAGATCCCAGGATGTCTGAAAACCCTGGTGAAATCGCCAGTTGCCACAAGGTTAAATAAACTGGGTCATTTAGTTTGGACAGAGACTGGTATTTTAAATAACCCCACCTGATAATACCTCTTGGTCTATATACGTTCATTCTAACTCAATTCACACCAAGCACAAAGCAGTGGGTCAAAATATCCTGAACTTCAAATTTGGAAAATGACACTGATAAATGTATTTATTACATAAATACATTTGTTTACTGCGAAGACCTCGCCAACTAGAAAAGTCATCAGCACAAATCCTCAGCAAAGACCATGAGAACCATGCTAAACCACACCATATTGGTTCGTCTGGCCTAGGAGAACTGGCCCCCCGACTAAACTTGGTTTCTCCCAAGGATTTTTCTCCATTTCTGTCACGCGATTGAGTTTAGGTTTCTTGCCACTGTAGCCTTTTGTCTTGCTTAGTTGAGGACACTTAATATTTGACACTATTGTAGACTTGATTGCACAGACACTATTGGATGAAAATGAACTGAGCTGCATGTTGCCGTCACTAAATTAACAATGAACTGACTTAAACCTGACTGTGGAAAATTGACTGTTTACTATTGTGCTCTTTTTAGAGCTGCTTTATAGCAGAATTGAATTTTTTGTTTGTATTATTGAAAAATTATTTTCCTGTTTAACACTGTAAAGCTGCTTTGGCACAATCTTGGCAATAATATTGTAAAGCGGTATATACAGGTGCATCTAAATAAATTAGAATGTCGTGGAAAAGTTCATTTATTTCAGTAATTCAACTCAAATTGTGAAACTCGTGTATTAAATAAATTCAATGCACACAGACTGAAGTAGTATGCACCTGTAAATAAAGGTGACTTGACTGGGTTGACTCGGTGTTACCAAAATATATATATTTATTATTCCAAGAAGAGCTGAATATAGAATTTTAGATAAGCTGTTTTAAAATAATTAGTTAAATTACCTGTAACCAATATACAGTTTGGTTACCAATTCTTTATAATATTTTCTTTCATGTTCTACAAACAAATAAATACAGGTTTGAAATGACATTAGAATGAGTAAATTATGACAGAATCATTTACTTTGACATTATTGGGTGAACTATACCTTTAAGGGAAGTTTAACTACACTGTAAAAATTAATCATGGGACTTGTAATTTTCATTTAAAAAATTAAGGTGATAATTAAAAATAGTGTGTATATTTTATTAAAGAAATCGTGGTTCAGTGTTGTATAGAAAATATTGAGAACTAATAAAACCAAGAGATTATGTTTTCCTCATATTTTTTAAGGAAACTTAAGCAGTTTTGAGGCTTGAATTGAGGAACTGATTAAACTGAAAAAATAAAATAAAATAAAATAAAGAAAGGAAGGATACCTGTTTATTTTAAGAGAATTAGCTCAATGTTGCAGTTTTATTTTGGAGGTGATTGTTAGTTCCCAGCATGCTTTGCATATGGCTGGATATGGAGAGTAAATATTGAATTAAATTACTCTAATTCAATTACAGAGCTCTCTAATGCAATTGGTAATGGTAGGAATTGAATTATAAATAAAAAGCGCCCATCCATAAAAAAAGTGTCTTACATGGCTCCGTGGGGTGAACAAAGGCCTCCTGTAGCGAATTGATGAAATTTAATAATCACTTTAATGTAGCTTGCGCTCACTGTTGTACACGGAAGCAGCTCCGGGCGGATGACGTATGAGTTCAGCGTTGTGTTAAATCTTGCTTTGTCAGTGCGATGACATAGAATCTTTTATTGAATAAGAATTAAAAAAAATATTTTATTGTATTTACTTATTTTTAACAAATCTTTTAGTACAAATAAATGCATTTTTGGCTTTATTTATTTATTTATTTTAGTTTCACCTTTTTATTATTAATATTATTGTTCATTCAGGCCAGTCTAACATTTTAATATTGATGAGCAAATATTTTCCCAAGAGTGTTTATTTAAGTTTAAGTTTTGCTTAAGAATGGATCAGTCTCATATCACAAGTGGGATTCTGTTCTCTGAAATTTGCTGAAATGTTCTAGAATAACAAACCCTGCTGAATGTGCCCCAGGTGCGTTTGTAATGAGCTGCATGCCTGTCACTGATGTAGGCCATATGTGAAGCGCTCTGACAGGTCCAGCAGAGGTGAACCGACTGCACAGTGGAGCACGTTTAACATGCTTTATGCTCACCAGTGAGTGTGCCCCCTGTGGGTCTATGTCAGTACTTGTTTAGTAAAATGCAAAACTTTGTGTGAAAGATTACAAAGTGACAACTACTCATAAATATCCCTGTCAGTATATTCAAAAGCAGGTAGTGATCTCTGTTTTCTGTAGAAAATGTGATTTGTAGCAAAACGATTGTATAATAGAACATGCCTCTCTTATACTCTACCTTAGCCTACCTTTATACTCCAAATCGAAGTCTTCGCTCTTCTCAGCAGGGTCTGTTGGGTGTCCCTCAAACGTTACCTTACGGGTATTCAAGTTTACGTTCCATGGGCGACAGAGCTTTTTCTATATCTGCTTCCAGGTTGTGGAACCTACTTCCAGTTTAAATTTGGAAGCACAGTCTCTTTGCGTTTTTAAAACGCATTTAAAAACATATATTTTTAAGCAAGCTTATTGTTGATTGCGATAATCATTGCTGTTTCTGTTTATTTTATCTTCCTGTGCTCTTTTGTTTATTCTGTATTCCTGTTTTAATATTACATGTACGGTATACTCTTACAGTGTAAAGCGCTTTGAGAAGTTCCTTTAAAGGTGCTATAGAAAATAGTCATTATTGTTATTATTATACTTTCTGCGTATTACATTAAGTTAAACCATCACTATTCAAAAATAAAACCCACAAATAAAATAAATAAACGTAGAGTTAGAGTGAAATTAAAATCCCTTGTAATATTTTGTTTATCCTCGTTTTCATATTTTGATAACAACAATTTAAATATTTACATTCCTTTAATTTATTTTGTTCTGGCACTGTAAATATTTACTGTCATGTATTCCTTAAGAGAAAGTCACTGATTACATGGAAATAAATTCATCGACGGCAATGTTTACCTTATGTGTGTTATAGCATTTACTTAATCACAGTATTGTGAACCCACATTAGCTCATAGCTAAATTTCAACATTCATCTATGTTTAGAACACACTAGTGGCCGTGTTAGCAAACACAACCGTTTGCACACACGTCCCACTCCATCATTTGCGCAATTTCAACCTATGAGCGAAATTTCAGCCTTCTGACCCAACACGCGCCGTGGACTGTCCGCGCGCTCTAGCGCGAGCTGTAGGCAGAATCGCTCGCGCTCTACTTTATGAATGGATGGGAGTGGCGCTGTAGTGTCAGTGTCAGTGTCGTCACGCTGTTAATAGGCGCTGGCGTTCGTCAGTGGACTTGACAGGACAGCAAGTGGACAGCATACGACAGCAGCCAGAGCGGGCATTAGGGGCAAAAGGCGACTCGAGGCGATAGGGTGAGCACGCGACTGTGACAGACAGGGGCAGCTCACATGTTACAGGGTGGGAGGATGGGTTAGGGGAGACAAAGGAATCGCAGGCGTGTAGTTTTTTTGACCGCCCATAGACAACTTGGACACATTTGCGGACTGCATAATAAAAAGGTACATTCCCTGTTATCGCGCTGATGGTCTGACATGATTCACACAGCGACTTTTTGATTCGCGCGATTCATTTTACCCCCAAACCAGCTGAGAGACCTGCTTTGTTTGGTCATTTTTGGGGGGTTTGTGGTATACGTTGCTATATCTGGATATCCCGAACTGCATTCCTTCAGAGTTGTGGCAAAGCAGAGAGATAATTGTACCAATCTCTTTTCAAAGGCGTGACAGAAGCAAAAGGGCGAGACAGAAAACTCGCATCAGCACCACGCGAGCACACTTCGTCTGCTCTGTTTGGAAGAGACTCCGAACCGAAGCCCGTCTTTACAGGATCTCAGAACTATTGGTCTTCATCTGCTGTCCCTCCCAAGAGTTTTGAGCTGTCCCAGCTCAATGACTAACTCCCTTTTCTTTTATCTTTATGGAAGAAGGACACAAAACCATATGGTTTTGTAAGTAGAAGGCAGTGAGCACTTTACTGACGCGCGTAACCTGAAAGATTCACGAGGCGAAATCACATCAAAGGTAAGTGTTTTTTTAAAGAAACTTTAAGTTTGAAATATTATTTAATGTTTTATTGTCTGTATTTAGTGTGATTTACTGTTTTAGCCCATATGTGCATTCGTTTGAATTTTTCTCCGTTTTTAAAACGCAGTTCCTTCTTTTCGAGAAAGAATTGTCAAGACTAAAGCTCACCTTAGTTCGCCTTGAAACATTGCTACATACTAAAATAGTAATAAAAATTCAGTTTAATTGTTGCCTTAAATTTAAAATCAAAGTGGTGCCAGTGACAACTTGTGATTGCAGTTATAACCTACTGTTCATTGCACCTTTTCAACCCCTCTCAGTCGTTCTTCACTGAAAAAAAATAGATTTGAAATTCTGAAAACATTTTTTAATAGAAATTATGTTAATGAGTAGAATCAAAATGCTGTAAGCATAACGATTAAAACATCCTTTTACAAAAAAAAACTATTTTTAAAATTTTAGCAATTTCTTCGTAGGCTTACCGTCCACTAGGAGGACTGTTAATCTGTTGTCATGCTCTGGCTGTGTTTTAAAACCTATTTAAATGCCTTTGTAGAACACATTCATTAGGTGCATTCTTGTTAAAAATATTGCAGGTGCACATGATGCCCACGAATGCTGTCTATATAGGCAGCTCAGTATGTTTTGAGATACAGCCAGTGTTTGTTTTGTAAACACACGCACAACAAATCTGTCACTGGTGTAAATTATATGGGTTCAGGATTCCACTACACCCAGGATGTTCAACCAGGGATCCCTAAAGATACTCAAGGGGCCTTAGTGGGTCATGACATTATGACAGCCCAACTATATCTAATTTTTTACTTTCCAACAATCTGTTAAATGTTATACTTTAGATAATGTTTTTAATCATTATGAAAGAAAATTTAGTTTTGTTAATCCTATGAATCCATGGGTTAGGTAAGAGTCTGGCTGAAAGATCCTGGCCCTGCTAAGATTGAAAACTCCTGCGCTTCAGCAACACGTAATGCACGTTTACAGTTACAGTAAACTCAGTCCTTCCCTTCATAATTGATGTGCATGGCACTTTGTAATGAACTCATATTGGTTCCATATTTCTCCACGTAAATTTTGAGGAATTCGCACAGCTGAGTAAACACTGACTGTCTGGTCATAATCCACACCACACCCTACTGCTGTATTGTATTAAAAATTAATCAGAGTATTCTAAAGCAAGAATAAATGCATGATAAACGTTAATAGTGTTTGTGTGCGAAACACCCATCAACTGTATTTACATTTCAATAATAAGACCAGTTACAGAAGGACATTCTGTGTTATTTCACTTTGATTTGTGGATTAATCAATAACTTTTTATGCTGTGATGCATGTCTATGAGTTAATGGAACTTGCCGTGACAAATGTTTAAACTCAGATTCATATCTATAGGTTTAAGGCTGATTGTGTTATTTGAACAATGCAAACCTGACAAACAATGAGAACAGTAAATGCATAATTACTAGCAGTTGAAGACAGTTAAGGAACACAATTGCATGCTTTTCCAGCCATTTGTTATCTGTCATGGAACTAAAACCTCTGTTTTTTGGGTGAGGCAGACTTTGAAACATGTCACCGCCTTGTCTTTCTCTCTCTCTCTTTGTCTCTCTCTCACTCTCTCTCCTTCTTTCTCTTTCTACTCCATCTCCAAGAGATTGTTGTTGGTGATTTGAGCTTTCCAGCATGCTTGCACTCCAAACATTCCAGGCCACTCGAGCACCAAGGATCTGGCCAGCTCCACACAGCTGGGAGCTATATAAGAGTGTATTGAACAACATCTTTAACTTGGTCTTGGGATCTCTATGGCCTGATACAAGAAGGGGGAGAGGGGGCGTTCCGCATTCCACTTTCTCTACCGGGGCAAAGCGCCATCCGGATTCCAGTAGGAATACACAGAGAGGTAGAAATTCCATTGTGCAGATAGAGGGACGTGTCACAACACAAGGCAGGATGAGTGAAGCATGCACACAGCACACATGAGAAGAAATCTGTATGCTAAATACACACATAACATCACACAGAGACAAGTGCTGTTCATTCTTGGTGCCTGTCAGCAGCTGACCTCTGCACACATGCATATACAAACATGGGGAAAACAAACATGCATCTTTTCCCCAAAGCACATGATGTCGGTCTGTGCCGGAGCAATGCAGTTTAGAGACACGGTCATTGTACAGTGTTTTGTCTCCCTCTGTGTTTTTGGCTGCTCTCGCAGTTGTTTTTGAAAGGGGAGAGTCCGTGTGCAAAGAAAGTTGAGGCCAGGACAGCAGGCCAATAGCGAGAGAAAAGAGTGGGAGAGGGAACGGAAGGAGAAAGAAGAGAGTAGATCCTTGGGAAGACTCACAAGGGGTTGTGGTGAAAAGAATCTCGGCAGCATACAAAAAGAGAGTTTGTAAAGGGGAGTGAGAATGAGAGACAACTGTAAACTTTAGTAATGCAGTGAGTAAGTTAACTTTTTGAATAGTCTCACATAGCCGGACTTTTGACTTACGGTAAAAGTCTGGTCCTTATTGTAGCTTATTCTGGAAAAGAACTGCCCACTTACTTAGAAAGAGACCAACCATCTGACATGTACAGTGACCAGCCACAGTTTTTCTATTTATGTATTTGGCAGATATCAGAAAACAAGTGTAATATCAGATTCTGCTCATGTATCAAGTTTACTTAGTAAGTGCCTCAAGTAAAACTTAACTGATAAAAATCATGTATGCCCTTCTTTTCAGGGGTAGTGCCAGCCATTTGGAACAGGCGATTTTAGGCATGTGCTTGCCATTTTTGTGAGTTATATGCATTAGACTCTCAGTGAACAGACTGTGTGGTCCGTGGACATGGTGCCTGAAGCTGAGACTAGATATTGAGAAACTTTGCTAAAAGTCTTATACCCCTTCTCGCCTCTTTTCTATCTTTTTTTTTTTACTTGGTTCGTACTCTTTGTCACTCTTTGTCTTGTCCCTGTTTGAGCAAACAGAGTGATACAGAAGCCTTTGGCCATACATGGAAGTACCGATAATAATGCACACTTGCCAGAAAATAAATTAATAATTAAATTGATAAAGTTTATTTGTTATAATTTAAAAAATATTATAAAATGATAAAATTGTACCTCACTGCTTTGGTTGTAAAACTTTTAGTGGCATTAGCATGTTTCCTGTATACAGACACATGCAGTACATGAGTGACAGTGCTGACAGATGTGAGGACAGGCAGGTGTTATGCTGAAATTGTCCAGTGATAAGGTACACTGCCCCTCCCCCACGCCTTTCCTCACCCTGTCTCCTCTCTGCCCTAGTCCAGATTCCCTCTCCAGCTCCTAGTCTCCTTCAGTCTGTTCATGTGTGTTTGCTTCCATCAATGGAGACTGCAGATAGGGTTGCATATTGCACAACTATTGACACACTTTTGGGGAGTATGAACTCAGTCACCCAAGACTGCTTGCCACTACAGTCATCGCCTCCTGAAATTAGATGTCTGAAGTTTTTCATCTGACAGTATTGTTTTGAATTTTGCAAAGCTTTTTTTTCATACAATCACAGACAATTTAAAAGAATAACTTTTGGGTGCTGCATGAAGTGATTCTCTCATTTTTAATAATACATTCCAAGGTCTGTTATCTGTGTGGCAGGCATTTTTTTTTTCAAGTCATATTTTGTTGCATGCAAATTTTACATATTTAGTCAGGCTGCAGTTAATGTACTGCAGGTTTGGTTGCTCTGACAAAACAGTTGACAGATGTTGATTATGTGTCAAGTTTTGTTTTTCTTTTTCATATCATGGCGAACATTTGAAAGAAGAGTAGTAACATTTAAAACAAATTTGTAGAAAAATTCTGCCAATCAAAATAAAAGTAACATACAGTGTCTGCAGTGGCAGATCCTGGCATAGGGAGTATCTGGTTGATTAAATTACGTCAAGTCAAGTCAAGTCACCTTTATTTATAGTGCTTTATACAATACTGGTTGTGTCAAAGCAGCTTTAAAATGTCAAACAGGAAAATAGTTTGTCAACAATGCAAGAAGACAATAACAGAGTCATTTTTCCAGCTAAAGTTAGTTCATTGATGATGTCATCATCCAGTTCCGCTCTCTTCCAATAGTGTCAATCAGTCAAGCGTCCCCAACTAAGCAAGCCAAAGGTGACAGTGGCCAGGAACCAAAACTCCATCTGTGACAGAAATGGAGAAAAAACCTTGGGAGAAACCAGGCTCAGTCAGGGGCCCAGTTCTCCTCTGGCCTGGCGAAGCCAGCATGGCGTGGTTTAATTCCAGGCTGCAACACAGGTGCAGAGGACTCGTCTGGTCGTCGAGGTGATGAGGTCTTCACAGGGGATCTGTTTCTGGGGCGCATCTAGTTGTCATGGTCTCCGCTGACATTCAGGGCAGTAGAGGTCGTCTTTAGGTGCTGATCCACCATCTGATCTGGATACAGACTGGATCCGTATGGCTACAGTGATCTTGGAATAAGAATGAAAGAGACTAATATTAGCATAGATGCCATACTTACGATGTAGCGAGTACTGTACATCGGGTGTTATGGGAAGTGTTCCCGGTTCCGGTTGACCTAATTAATGCAGCCTAACAATCTTTTAACGGATTTGAATTATAGAAATATGATTGTGTTTTATGTATGCCAAGTTAAAGAGATGGGTCTTTACTTGTTCAGTATGACAAATTGTGTGTGCAACTTCTAGGTGTAATCCAGGTGCTTTGCAAAGAGTAACTGCACAAAAGCAACATGTGAGCATAGATTTGATGCCCCCATATTTAAATGAGGCCTATTGCGTGTAATAATTGTGAGTGTGTGTGTCACTGCTTACATGTTAAGGAACAGACAGACAGTTTTAAACATTTCGACTTTTCTTTTCAAATTACGAGGCTTCTGTCAGATCTGTAGGTCACCAGTCTGATCCAGTCAGTGCAGCATATTTATCAAGTCATGTAACAGTTGCTTTTGGATCACAACACTGTGGCTACAGCAAATGTC